TATATATATATATATATATATATATAAAAGAATGAGCTACATCTCTCTCTATAGAGCTTTTATATATATAAAAGAAAGAGCCAAGTCCCTACATAAAAGAATGAGCTCTATATACACAGAGAGAGCGCGAGCTCACTCTTTTACATGCATTAAAAGAAAGAGCTAAGCTGTATGTAGATCCAAAAGACCTAAGTTTTTCACATTCCCAGAGCGTCGACTTAAAGAACAACGCCGAAAAGCACGAGCTGGCAGCGCTGCGGGCACGCGGGGGCGGTATTGTTCGAGGGAGAGAGGAAGGAGCTGTCGGGGCCCGGCTGGGGCCTGATCCCAGCGGCTGTCAGTCAGCAGTGCGCCGCTCACCCCATCCCAGCTTGGGCCCACTTATGGGGGGATTTGGGTCCAGCGGTGCCTGGGAGGGGCGGTCCCGATTCTGTCTCCCGCTGGCGGAAAGCGGGAGGGTTTCCACAAGCCAGCAGCACTGGCAATGGGAGACTTGACCTCCCGCGGAGCAGGCCGGCTCCAGCCCCCCGGGATCCCCGTCACTTGCCGCACCCCCGCCCCGCAAAGGGGATCGGACACCTGGAGAGGGTTGATCTTCCCAGCCCGGCGGGGGAGGAGAATGGCCGCCGAAACAGCCACTCGCTGCCCAGCAGACGACTGAGCGCGGCTTCCAGGGCAAAAAGTCCCGAAGGGACAAACTGCTTGGGATGGGGGGTACGGGAGGGAAACCCGGCAACAGCAGCCATCAACTCGATCCCTAACTTAATCCAGTCCTTTTTCTTCCCCCTCCTCCTTCCCGGACTGCGGTCGGGTCCGGGTTCCGCGCAGCCCCGAAGAGGCACCCGTGCTCTGTGCTGCGCGTCAGTCGCGCAGGAGGATCCCAAGACAAGGCGTGTAGCATTTCATGGGGAGGGAAGATGGATCTACGTTTAGGCAGTAGACCAAGGGGATCCTCCACTGTAGGGCTCAGATGGGACACCGGGAAACCACTGCCCCCAGCGCTGGGCTCGCCTCGCTCGCAGCCCAGGATCAGGCTCCCTGGCGCGAATTTTTCTAACCCTGTTTCCCAATACGGTTGCTAAATCCCCATCTACTGTGCCATCCCCCGCCATGAGCCCCGCCAGCACACCCGCAAGCTAGGAGACTTGAGAAATGCAGATGGGATGAGGCAGCAAGCACGCAAAAAGCCGCGGAAGGAGGAGAAACAAAAAGAGAGAGCACAGACGCGCTTTGTCGTGTTAGGGTCACAACCCCCTTCCCATTTTATTACGCGTTGACTTCCGCGTGGTAAAAAAAAAAAAACAAAACAAAAAAAAAAACACAAGCTTCACCTGCCTCGATCGGGAATTCATCAGGACACAGAGTCTTCCAAGTAGCCCCTTCCTTGCAATTACTTTCCCCTTGGGGGGGGGGGGGGGGGG